TAATATAAAATATTAGGTTCTACATGTATTATAAAATATTTCGTACTACATGTAATATAAAATATTAGGTTCTACATACAATATAAAATATTCGGTACTACATGTATTATAAAATATTTCAAACTACATGTAATATAAAATATTAGGTTCTACATACAATATAAAATATTCGGTACTACATGTATTATAAAATATTTCAAACTACATGTAATATAAAATATTACGTTCTACATACAATATAAAATATTTGGTACTACATGTATTATAAAATATTTTGTACTACATGTAATATAAAATATTAGGTTCTACATACAATATAAAATATTCGGTACTACATGTATTATAAAATAATTCGTACCACATGTATTATAAAATAATTCGTACTACATGTAATATAAAATATTTGGTTCTACATACAATATAAAATATTCAGTTCTACATACAATATAAAATATTCGGTACGACATGTATTATGAAATAATTCGTACTACATGTAGTATAAAATATGTATTACTACTTGTAATATTACTCTTTTACCAATAGTGTGAAGGTATGAAATACATTATCAAGAAGTAGAAATACTCTTCAAACATTTTGCATGATTATGGTAACTGAAGACTCGTACTTTGCCTGAAAGACTATATGAAAGCAGATTTATTTTAGAATGGAAATAGTCTTAAACTTAACATTAAGATGTCTAATATGTTTAACATATGTACATTTAAATGCTGTATAGTTATCCTATTTATAATGAATCAATCAATCTTGATCATATACAGTATAGATAACCTTATCGTTATTAACCCCAACTTCCAGAAAGATCTGTATGTGTAGCTTGTAGTTAGACATTATACTACGTATTGTTTACAAAATAGTTTTCTTTACTTGCCTCCTTTCACCGTATCCTTCTTCTGTCACTTATTGTTTGTTAAGTCTCGTGCTGTCTTTTATAGTTTATTTATTAGCTAAATAAGAATAGTATAAATTCTAAAATTTGAATCACTGCTTTATATTTTTATGACTTTCTTTCAAAAGCTGTGCCTATCATAGTTGTTGGAGCAACTCTTGCAGCACAAGTCTTGGAAGGCTTTGATCTAGACAGGTGAGTTTATTTAATAAGTACACATGAAAGAAAACATTAAATATAGATGTAAGCAATAAACAAAGCTATATGAATAATTTTAATGATGTTGAAGCGCTTGGATAAAAGTTGATTAGAAAAGTGTAAAATCTCTAAGACTATTGTACTTGTTTTAACTTATGTTTTAACTTGTGTTATGTATTCAAATTCTGCATGTTTCAGTTTACGTGGAAGTGTCTGTGGATTATTTTAGTATGGATAACAAAACTATTTTGAATTATGTAAATAATTTTCCAGTAAAATAATAAAAGGTGAGTGTTACTATTAGAGATTTTTAGTACATGTACTTAGATAAAATGATAATAAGTTTATAAAAGCATAATTTACTTATGTTATGGTACATTCTTGTACAGTCTTGACTTAAATAACTAAAAATTTGCTGGTAAAATAGTACATCTTGGATATGAAACATGAATTTGTCAAACATGTCAGTTGTTGTTCATATAGACATTCATCATTTAATTTCTGTTTTTTTTTATTACTAGTGCGTGCTACTTGCTATATAAACATGTACAATATTCTATTGTTTGTTTCTCAGAGGATTATAAAATCTTGAAATTCCAGACTATTTTAGGCAGAAATTTAAGTGTATTGCGGTGAACGTGTATATCTTATTTAATGTATGTCAAAGTTAGAAGCATAGATCACCAACCAATCTTACACTAATACTCTGTTTCTTTTCCAACAGCTGGTGGTTATTGATTGGAACAAGTTTTTTTTATGCATTTGTTACATCTGGAAGCATCATTGTGGTGGTAAGGATTTGAAGTGCCTTGGGCTTTAATGTTTATACTTTACTGAGGGAAATTAAACTTAAAGAACTCAATCCAAATGCAATAGACTAATCTTATCTAGCTAATAACGGGGTGGTTTTATCCAATGCAATTTAAGACAGTCTTAAATTCCTTTTTTCTATTTTTTTATTTCTATTAAGAAAATTCTTATGGCTTTCTTATGTCACTGGTTTCAGGCCATTAATGTAGGAATCCTCCAGTTAACACATGAAGCACATTGTGGACAAGAAATTAACCAAACATGATAAAAATAAAGTACATATTTTACTCCATACTTTATATTTTAAACTAATTTAAACTTGAACTGCTGTGCTCCAGACACTAATAAATATGGTTTCCACCTGTTATATATTTTATGGAACTGCTTCAGATTAGAATGGAGTTTAACTTATTCCTTACTTTGCCTAGGGTGTATCACTGTTCGTTATATAAACTTATATTGTTTGACTTGATGAAAATGCCAAAATTACCATACACTAACAAAGTTTTTACTTATCTTAGTGCACTGTTCAGGTGGCTTGTTTGTATGCTAGCACACTGAAAGTTTTTCTGTAATATGAAACTGAACAATCTATACAAAAGGCTGGAAATGAAAAATGATCCAGTGTTACAGAGCATCTGTTACAAATATGATGTACTGGAAAAATTTCCTGGTTAGATTTCAAAATAAGGGGAAAAATGAATGGTAAGAAATCTAACAGACTATGATAACTTAAACAACTGGTGAAGTGCAGACAAATAACTTAAACAACTGGTGAAGTGCAAACAAATAACTTAAACAACTGGTGAAGTGCAGACAAATAACTTAAACAATTGGTGAAGTGCAAACACCTAACTTAAACAACCGGTGAAGTATACAAAGTTTGTCTTTTCACATTAAATGACCTGAAAGTCAAAGTTGCTATTGAAAACTTTGATATGAACACTTGTAAATGAGTTCTAGTATATGGCAATTTTGGCATACTTTACAACAATCAGCCAAAAAACTGGACAACCATTACATCTATAAAAGTGGGACTTAAAGTCAACAAGGAAGTCTTAAAATGTTAGTACAGTGGTCAAGTTTTATCAGATATTGGGGGTGTATGATGCAGTATCCACTTTTGTCACATCTAAAGATTACCAGAAATATTAAAAGGAGTGGTCACTAGAAATCAGTGAACTTGTTTAAAAGAGAAGAAAAATCTGAGTGGTATGTGTAATCATTAATTAACCCAAAAATTGGTTATTATCTGATCTCAACTAATTGCTTAAACTGATTGATCTCTTAATGATCAATGATAAGTAATTTTAATATACAAACAAAAATGTAACCATTATGAGCTATTTAATCTGGAAGCAGAAATAAAACTAAACATTGGGACCCCCCCCCAAGAGGAAATTCTTCTTCTCTCACTCATATTACTTATCAATTTATCATCCAGTACTACATACTTTGCGTAAATGTATGGGTGGAGATTATGTCCGGGATGCGTATATATATGGGTGGAGATGATGAATGGTTAATGATGTTGTAGACACACTTTGTTGGCATCTGCATGAGCAGTTGGTTAATGAATGGGTATTGCTAATGTAGAATCAAGTTTAGATGAATCTAGGTCATACTGTCATGGTAGCAAATGCTGAAATCACAGAATGATTAAGAAAATTTTCAATAATCTTCATCAAAATCATTATCTATGTAGTAATATTAAATCTTCTCCTTTCTGTGTTTTTAAAAAAAAATACAGATAATTCTTCTCATTTTCTGATGTTAACTCTAATTAACAATAATAATTTATAATAACTTTGAAATCAAAGTGAATGACTGTTACAGAGTTAAGACAATTTTCTCAGAAAGTGTAAAATTCTTCTGAGTTCCACTCGACAGAGTTGTTCTTAATACCTTTGATTGTTCCTGTTGGATTATTTGGTGAATTATTGGAAAGTCTGAGACAAAACATCAACCTGGGTGTTTGCAAAACACTTTACCCAACAATGACGATTAGGTTTAAATTAATTTCAAATGTGTTTCCTCAAATGTCTCTTATCAAATGTACATTGGACCAACCCGGTGTTGGAGAAAAAATGTTGACTATAATTCTGAATTTACTAGGTGCATCTACATGAAACTTTGTAAACTTTTAATAAAACTGTAAAAGTCTGTTGTACACAAAAAATCAGATGTGTTACAAAAGTATTTTTACTTAAGATATGTCTGTGAATTGCTGGTATCAATTTGACTTGGACTCTGAAAAATCAGTGTGCAAGGTGATGTTCATGTGAAGAATACTTTTGTCTACAGTAAAGCTTGCATATTACCTTTAAATAACTTCTATGACCTCCAAAATGCACTATCCCTGTATATCGTATCTGGTGTTTATTCTTCCCTACCATGAACTGTCACTACATCAGAAATGGTAAAATGAATAGATGATAACTCTAACATCAACTACACAATACCATCTTGAATTGGTACTCTGGAAAAGGTCATGGCATGCACACTTTGACCCCATCCATGCACATAGCGTTAATTATTCCTTTAAAATATCAAAACTGATATGCTGGGTTTGATCTGTGGCACCAAGTTAAACGTTCGATCATCTTAAATGATGTTTATTTTGCAGTACAAAAGGCTATTTTTTTATATTTCCACCTTTTACCATGAATTATCCAATCTTTAGTACTACCAGTTTGAAATTATCTGAAAATGAGTACATTTTAAGAAAAGTTTTGAATTTACTCTATCAGAAGTAATGAAGATAAGATTTTTAAATGGGATAAGTTATACGTAAAAATCATTATTAAAAATTCACTGCTACGAATCTAATTCATTAGACAGAAAACAGTTATACCTCTAGATGTTTTATATGAAGTATTGGAAAACTTTTTTCAGCAGTACTTATGTTTTTTAATTCATTAATTTCCCTTTCAATCCTCTTTCAATTATTTAATTAAAATGTCTTTCAATGAAACATAAGCAAAGGAAAACAGAAATGTTCCATAATCCATGACCTGTTTCATTGTAAGATTATGAGATGACTTTAGTAGATTATATGATTGCAACTAAACATAATTATGTATTTGAAAAAATTATATAACATATATTTTATACTCTGCAAAAAAAACTCTGTACTTTAAGGACTTATAAAGCTTTTTAAGTGTATTATTTTAGTTTACTTATCATAATATTTAAGTTGGTTATGATGAAGAAAGTAAAATATCTTTTATTATTTTTTTCACTAAAAGCTGTACATGTTGCTGTACCTAACTGTGAAAGCTGAATTAAGGAGGCAAGAAAAGATTAACCCACAGCTTCAGAGAAAAATACTGAATAGGTGAGAGTTAATATTTCTGAGATTCTAAAAAGCAATTGTAAATTTTTAAATCATGAGGATGGTATATCTAGTATAGTAGAAATATTATCTATTCTAGTAAGGGATCAGTGTAATTTCAATAAAATATTGAAAAATTAGAAAATATGTAAAAATACCTACTTAGAATAATGTAGTGCTAAAATAATTGTAAATTAATTAAATGATCTTTTTATGGAAATAAAAATTCCCAAAGTAAAATACCTTACTAAGTTTAGCTCAACTTAATAAAGGCTACAAAGAAGATAAATACGTATAAAGAATGCAAAAATAAAGCATTCTTTTATTTTTTATAGGGCAAGGCCTAGTGCTTAGTGTGATAGGCTGCAATTCAATAAGGTACCAGCCGTCCCGTGTTTAACAATAATAAGTTCACCACACATTTTAGTTGTGAGTTAAATAAGGGTTGTTCATTTTGTGTATTATTTTCTGTTCAGTATCTTTCCTTCTCAGGCTCAGTTATTCAGATGTTCAATTCTATTTTGTAAAAAATATCATGTCAAACCTCCCATTAAGTTGCTGTAAAGTTAATTCAGTTCAACCTGAATATACCACGTAGTATCTAGTTTGACTACCTCCATGATAGCTCATGTGATTATAAAAACGAGGAGGAATAAATAGGATTTTAAAATACATAAAAGGTTAAGATGTGTATGGTGTGATTCACTTCTTTGCTGTACTTGTGGGCATTGTTTATTGTTTTTTATTTCCCATAAGATATTTAAGGCTAGTTTTAGTTTCTTTTACAAATCCAATCTTGTACTATAATTTGAAAATTTTAGCTTTTCAAAATGGCAAGTAGCTCCCACAAATTATCCATATCGCTAATTTTTTTAGGTCAAGATCTGTGAACCTCTTGCATTTATAGGTCCATACTTCTTTGCTTTGCTGGGAATCTTTGCGATATTACATCTATCTATGTAACAAACAGCAATGTATTAAATCTACTTGATATTCCTGTAGAGCATTAAATTGTATTCATTCATTGGTATAGAAAATAAGTATGGAAAATGAGTGACACAATTACAAAGGAAAATAAATTCATTATGTATATTAAAACTTCTTTATTTGATTGTTTAGCTCACACAACCATTATGAGTTTTACCAGCCCAGTTTATCATGCTAAAACTGAAACCTGAGACAAATTACGGTGTGTTTCCTAATGGGTGTGACAGTTGGGTCATGAAGAATGAGGCAGGACATACAGATTTGCACGAGGAACCAATTCTTATTTTAAATTTTGACAGTTTACAGAAAAAACATTAATACACATTACACAGCAAGTAATTGTGTGTTTCTCTGTGTATATTAAAATGAAAGGTGTGTAACTAGCAAGAACAATGAAGACTTTATTAAATAATTTGCTCTTGCTAATGTGTTTGTGCTCCCCATCTATAACTTAAGCTATCATATAAAAGATAATTACAAACATAGAATATCCCCAAGTTACTATGTAACACAAAAAAAAACTAACTCTCAATAATAATAACAACAATAACTGCATATTGTAAACAAAGAAATTAACTCCTTTTGTCCTGTGGGGCAAATAATCCATCACTTGCTTATTGGTAAACTTAAACAAGTACTTAAATATATAAATTATAGGCAAACACAAATGATGCCTGCACAAATGAAAGTTAACTGTAAAGTTACTAGAGAACTTGAAGAGTTCTTGGAAAGTAAAACTACTCAGAAATATGCAAGCCTGTTACCGGCAATTGAAAGTAAGAACTGTAAATGTTCTCATGTAAAAAATGATGTGATGAAAGCGCTGGATGAAAATATAGTAAAATCTATATAATATTTTGGAAAATCTATGTAAAATTATAGGTAAATTTCTGTGTGTATTCGGTGGAAATTCTCTGTAAAATCTGCTGAAAATCTGTAAGTTCTGTGTTGAGACTGTGTGATTCTGCTTTTTTCAGATCCCAACACTGTTTTAAATATGACAATACACCTTTGAATTTCTGATGCAATAAAATGACTATTGGTGTGTGATAGATCAGTTGGCCAATGGGCTGTGAATATAATGGGCAAATTCACCTGCAACTACTGCCCAATACACTAACAATAATAACACAGTGTGCTAATTAAAAAGCTTGTTATTATTCATGTAAGAAAATCGGACATGAAGGTCCTAACCTCTACTTGACCCATTAGAACCTGGGGAATTGTAAACTTAGAAACCCTCTTGAGCAATATCATGTTCAAATTTTGGGAAGTTAATAGAAGAGAAATAAAAGCAATTTAGTGAACTTTAAGTTAATAGGCGTGGAAAAACCTGTAGTACTACCCAGTATTACATATACTATGACTTATTGAAACATCTGGAAGACCATCTAGACTAAAGTTTTGTTACAAAGAATAACTGATAGTTAATCGTTGGAACTTCATCTTGATGTTAATGTTCACAATATCAAAGAGATAACAGAATCTGATTATTATTCCAAAAGAAAAAGGTTGTAGAGAACTTTGCACAGGAAGGTAGTACAGTTTTCTGTTCGTTACAACAGACTCATGATGAACTTTTTATTAGTGATGATAATATTTAAGATGTGCAGTGTGTACATCTATCAGTTTTACAAATTCTTGGAAGTTAATTGCCATGATTTATTCTTTCATATTATGAAAAAATTTATGAGTAAAGTTTTGACCACTGAGTATGTAACAGTCTATCAAACGAAGGAAATCTGTTCCAGATTTTAATTGTAGTGATTTTAATTTTTCAACTATTTTGCTAGCTACAATTGAGATGGATTGTATATTTGCATGTATTGATTTTATGGCTTTTCCTGTATTTTGTTTTCATTCAAAATTAAATCTTATTTTATATTTATAGGGCTGGGATGCTACGACGTTCACTCTTCATTTTCCTGTTACTTTTGTTAGTATCTACATCAAGCATTTTGTTTGCCAACTTTGAAGAAAATATTTTCAACTACTTTTTTTCTCTGTCCTCAGCCCTCCTGGTGAGAAATATTTTATACTTATTTCACAATCATTATTAATTCTCAATGAATAATAATATTAAAAACATCAGTAGTAATTTTCCTTTAATGTAGTTATGTAAAAACAAAGAGTAAAGAGGGTTGCTTATTCGTGAAATGAGCTTCATTAATATTGGACAATTACTTTGTTAATTTATACACAAGTGCACTGCATAAAGTTGATGTATTATGTAAAGTTTCAGTCCATACTGAGCTTAAAGTTATTTAACCATATCGCCCCTTGTATCCTTTACTGTGCCTGACACATGGTTTTAGTGTCTTACATTCAAAATCTTATTAAACTACTTTTATTTATGTTATACCAATTAGAATAGCGTAAAACCTTAGCTGATAATCCATATTTCAATAATATACAAGTTTTAAGTTCTTAATTCTACAAGGCAATATTAAAAAAAATCCTGAATTTCCCCTAGTGTGACCCACATGACACATTTTCTTTTAGCATGTCATCATCCATATTTTATCCACCACCTTTCGAAAAAGTACGAAATTAAATGTGTATTACTCTATATAAAATCATCATTGTGCAGACAAACTATAATTTTTATAATCTTCAATTTTGTTTGGTTACAGAGCTATCAAATAGAAAATCAGACCCCTCCTGTCACATCCTCTCTCAGAATTTGTTAAGTGTTCTCTCTTACATTTAATTATACATATTATCTATAACAAATAGAAAGTCAAGATTTTCATCTATCAAGTGACGTATTGTATAACGTTATGTTCTGAACAGTTAAATGCCAGTTTCACTCAGAGTACCAACATCTTTCTCGTGAGAAAGTTAACGAATATCTTGGATGAATTTGTAACAACTCTTGTTGCATAGTTAGAAATCCAGAAAATTTTAAGAGGTAAGGGAATTTGTCTACTTTTTGCAGGTTATTAGTCTATATTCTTTGTTGCATTATTTAATTAAATAAAAATTATTAAGTGCATTATTATCATTAGTATAAAACAAGTAGGGTTAACTCTCTTCGAAAACCAACAGCAAGAAAAATAAAGATTGGTTAAATATTTTATTTCTTGTATTTCATGTTTATTCTTTATGTATAATTATGAAAGTAACTGAAATGTCAAAATAGGGATCCTTTTAGGTTAGTTAAGATTAGATTCGGTAAAATAAATAATAATAATATTATAATAAAAATGTTTCATGTGGCACACATGCGAGCAGCTCATGGGTAATGTAATTCATTAGCGTTATGTGAGCTGCATGTTCCTCGAGTGAATTACAACTTATAATGGTGCAGATAGTAGTTAGACACAGTTCACAGAGCAATAAAATAATAAAATTTAATTATAAATAGATGTATACTGTTACAAACTTAAAGCTATACAGTGTGGTCACAAGTAAATAGACACCACCTTTTCAGAAAAAATGAAATTTTTCAGTCATATTCACATGAACTGATATATTTATAATTTAATTAATATCTAGTAGATCTTCCTTTCATTACATGGAGTTCATTGATCCTTTGGGGCATCGTGAGAATCATCTCGTCAATTTTAGATTGTGGAATTTTTGCCCACTCTTG